CCCCCCCAATCAGAGATCCTCATGCACAGCCCGTTCTGTTAGAAGCCTGAACGAACAACTGACTATTATGGAAAGCCATGATGGTCAACCATTCAGGCTTAGCTGCATGAGCAGCCCAAATCAGGAATCAAAACCTTCACCACACACCCAGGACAATTCCCAAATACAGGGATTGCCAACTTTAACGTCCGAGGTAATTTGTTGTTAGGATAAAACATGAACAAGGCAAAATCTAAGATGGGAATGATCCAAGCCATGGGTTTTTACCACGCATGCACGCAGGTTACGTCAGCAAGATGTCACCTGGAAACAGGCAACTGCACATTGCACAAATGGCAGTCTGCAAGCAGACCTGGAGAGGCACTTCAGGCAAAGAGCATCACACAGATCCAAGCCAGAGATGACAAAGGCATGGATACTTCCAGCACAGTGTGTATCCATGACAAAAAGTATTATCCTCCAAACCCAGAGAGAAATTAAAATATCCATGGTTTCAGGCACTAAACTCAGGATATTCAGGAGCAGCTGAAGCTCCCCCATAGCTTTAGAAACTTCCTCAATGGACAGAGCTGCTTCAGCTGTCTTCTCCCATACAAACAGCATCATATCCATCTTACCTGGACCAAGACCCACTAGTTTTCATCCAGGCCCCGGTTTCAGCTAGACATTAGGAAAGTTGACAGACAGGACTATCCCAATTCATTGAAAAAGACAGAGCTAAGAATTATTTGCATAGTGACAACACAATCCAAACCATTGCACTGCCTGTCGCCCGCAGGCAGTGACCCAGAGAGGAACAAAACAGAAACCGGTAGTACGTCACTGAAGAGCTGCCAGCCCCAGGGCCCTTGAAGTCCTCGGAAGCCAAACACTGGAGCCACGCAGAGGGTAACCTCTGCCGCTTCCTGCTAGGATCTGCACAAGGTTATGTTAACAGTACCTCATAGCCAAAAGCAGCAGCAATAACATAGCAGATTGAAAGCTGTTCATAAATTCGGGAAGAAAAAAAAAAAAAGGTCATACAATATTGAGAAGCTCATGTGCTCAGTGTAGAGTCTGCCCTGTTCTGAGATTTAAAACCACAATGAAGAAAATCAGTGAAATCTAAATCTACTTGTCCAAAACTTTCCGTGTGAAAGAAAAACTGGAGAATATACCATAACTGATAAGACTGTCTGCACTAGCATGTTTCCCTCCTGAAAGGTATTCGTAATCCTCAATTACTGGTCCTAAAACTGCACAACCCTATCAACCACCTGAGCAGGCAATGTTCAAAACACAGGGGGAAACTCACAGTTCCATCAGTGTCCCACAACACCAGCACCTAGAAGGGACCCAAAAAGTGATGGTATTTAATTTTCAGTTACTTGACAGCCTGGTACTAAGGAACTGATCAAACCTTCCCAGAGCTAAAAGAAACACAACTTGTAAGCAAAGATGGCTTTTTAGGACTACTGAGTCTCCAAACAAGCTGACTTCCTTCTGTGAAAGCTTAAAAACATCTCTAAAACAAACTACCTCAACTTAACCCCTACAGCAATACTTTGAGAAGACCAACCACATTGCCTTCTATTTCCATATACAATTTTGAACAATTTTGTGCTACTAGCCGTTCCAAAATCCAGAACATTTTCATTATAATCACAGGCTGATGTAACTTCTATATGTTTCCTTATGGTCCTTCCTTCCTTCCGATGCACACTAAAGAAAATGACATATCCCCAAGTTCTGAGAGCACACAGAAAGCCATTATTCCAAACTCTTCTGCATGTGCCCAATCCTACCGGCTTTTGGGGCACTTCTCACTCGCAGGCTGTTAGAGATCTCTGCTAGCCTGCCATCCTTAAAGCACCAACTGAACAACACGCTGGTACACGTTCAGGTGTAAATCTCATCACTTAACGTGTGCATAGGGAAATAACAGGCAGCAAGGTGGAGATGAATTGTTATGCTACAGCATCCAAGACAAGCATGTATGAAACATTCCACAGTCGCTGCTCCAAGACGCAGTTCTAATACTTTACATCAGGGAGACAGAGGACAGGGTGTCTGCCCTGTGCAGGCAGGATTAGACTTGACAAAGTATTCTACTTAAGCACGTTTTAATCAATTTATAATAGGGATTGCTTCTAACTATAGTCTGCTCAAATATAAAATGCACTCGAATCCATGATAAGGACTCTCCTGCCGTTAGCACATTATCGTACACCTTTCAGCTAGCTGCTGTGCCTGACATTAAAGCAGTCAACTAGCCCAACCAATTAAGTTCCTTTATTTATTGGAAGTCCTCCTCGCTCGCTCAATTTTACTACATACACCTAGGAGTCATCTGAAATATCTTAGCTTTCGTGTAGAAACATGGCTTAGTCTCTGCGTGTCCAAATACACAATTAAGCAGACACAGTGCAGAAGCTGTCACTGGTACCAACAGCAACTGGATCAGGCTAGTAAATAAACAAGTGTCCTGAACATGACAGTGCTGAGCCCTCACAGGCTAAGTCCTCTGTTTCCTAGTTTACATTTAAGATGCACCCTCCACCTTCCACACCAGCACTGCTGGAGGCAGAAGCATGCCATAGGCACTTATGCAGCAGGACCTGCATGTCTCCTCTCTGCCCAACACGAGGGATGTTCTATAGAGCCCTCAGCACTTGCTCTTTTCTCATCATTTGCTCTTTTCTCACAGAATTGCTGATATTTTTAACAGAAGGAACATCTCACTGCAAAAAAAATGACCAGGGAACTCAGCAGTGGGTATAGACTTTTTCAAGAAAGTATTTTTACCACATCACCACTATTTTCAAGCCAGTCTTCTTAAGTATCCCAGAAGACACTAATAAAAAAGTCTTTCTTGTGACTGAGCAGGATTTCTAAACACATGGCTCATCTGCGTGAAGCACAAGGTCACATTCATTAGACAGGAGGATGAGAAAAGGCTTATAAGGGCCAGGAAAAGTGCTCAAAGGCTATTAATGCTAATTAAAACAATTGGCGATTTCCCAGGCTTAAAAAGCCCTCACTTACTGTCATTGAAGAGGGCTTCTGCTCTTTTCGTCTCCATACCTGAAAGAAACAAACAGTCAGGGTAAGGCCAGGACAGCACACACAAGGTTTCCGATCTGCATGGTCATCCCACCCGACAGCACCGCAGGAGGTACAGCTGAGGGGGGCTGCTAGAGAAGCCAGCGTAGCTCATATGTGATCACGTTCTTGTGCTGGCTTTTGCACTCCTCTCTGCAGTGCTGCTTGCTCTTCTCCAGCCAGCCAGTATCCTCTGAGGACCAGGCACAGGGTCTCCCCCATCCTGCTGGACCCGGATGTTTCTGGAGGGGAGTACAGACGAAACAGGTCCTGTATTACTCAAGATCCACAGTTTTGTTGGGGAGAGATTTTTACAGTGGAAAGTTTTGAAGTTACTTTTTTGTAAAAAATCAACTGGACGCATTTTACACCAGAGTGAGGGCCAGAGGAGATCTGGTACTCACTCTGTGCCCTCTTCCAGATGAGAAGGCACTGACTTCACTGCAGCAATGCAAGCTTACAATAGCAGTGGCTCGCTCTCCTTTTTCCTATCTTATCGAGCAACAGGGTGTCTGGTACACTATTAATACTAAAAGAGATAGTTAATAGCAATTTATTGCATGGCACAGCAGGTTCTAGCAATACATTCCCTCTTTTAATATGCATGTTGTATGTTTACGGACAATACACAATGCTCATGCTGACAATAGCAAGCATTGGCTCAAGGTATAAGTCTATTCCCCTTCTTCCAGAATGCTGTTTTTACTAGAGCTATTATTTTAGTTGCCAGCAGTCAAAACAAATTTAAAAAATAAAAATTAAAAAAAAATAAATCATGCTTTCAATACAATTTTTAAATTATATAGTGATTCTTGTACAGCATCCACAACTTCACGTTTTGCAGCTGCATAGCTTTTCTCAGCAGATCCCTCTCCTTACCTACTTCATTTCTCTTTGCAGCTACACAGAATAATATCCTAGTTTTGATACAAAACCACGCCAAGCCAGGAGGAGTCTCTTTTGAATGCAAAGGGCTCTGGCTCATACTTGCCACCTATTGTGCTTGTATCACTTGTGTTTTGCTTGTGGGCTTGACACTCCTCCTGGTATGCAGGGTGAATTGCACGCTTGCAATCCACCATTACTAGACATGTACTCATTCATTTCTTAACATGACATTAAGCAGACTGTGATAGAAAAAGGAAACAAACAGAACTCCAGCGCATGTACACCTTGACCGTGGGGAACGTTACAGAGCAAAGGCAGTGCTAAGGCTGCCGTATGTGCGTGCACCCGATGCTTTATTGTGTAAGAATGGGAGATGAGTTACAATTGGACATTTATATAGCAACACAGTCTTATTCACTATAAACAGGAACTGCTCACATAATAGATAAATAAGTTTTACTGGTGGGCAAGCAACAACTTGCAAGGCCCTCTTTCAGTAAAAATGCTCACTTGTACTTTCTCAATTCCTGTGAAAGAAGGAGGAAAACCCTAAAGTACAGGGACCTCTATGTTTCAGGGATGTCGGTTGTATTCTGTGAATTTCCATGGATGGTTCTTGCCAAGATCCCTTACATCAAAATGTAATAATACCAGACAGTAAAAGCTAGGCCAGCAGAGGGATATAGCAGTGGTATAAACATTACGGTTTGGTAAGTTACAAAGTAAGGAAAAAAAAAAAAAAAGGTGCTGAGCTGTGCTAAGGATTTGGCTGCTTCACCTATATGTTTATACTGGCAAGAAATGCTTTGAAAAATCTGTGCCTACTTGTTTATTTCAACTATGATGAGCATCCAATGTTTTCTTAGAAATTCATACAGCTTTCAGAACTAGCTCATCATTTGGGTCACTCTAGTATTCCATAGCTGGAAACGGGTAAGAAACCAATAAATGTAATCAATAACAAAAGAGCACCTTTTGCCTTCAAGTGCAATATTGATAATAATGTTTTTTTAGCTCCTCTCTGGGTGGAGAGACATTTACTTCATAATGCCTAATTATAAAGCCTGCAGTCAATTATTAACACTTACATTATGTTGCAAAGCTCATCGAGAAGACAAAAGGAGCAACCAGCTTGTTCAAGCGCAGTGCCGGAAGCAATTCAATTGGCATGTTCTCTCTGCACTGAGTTTTGCTGTGAGTCACACAGCTGTTCTGCAAGGCACCTGTCTATATCTCTGTTTGCCTTTTTACAAGGCACCTAGAAAAAGTACAAACCTCACATGGGCAAAATTTTACCCATTGCTTCCAGTTGGACCGGCTTGTGTGTAATGGGAGAAACAAGTTTTACGCACACATGCTGCAAGTCTTAAATAGCATGTCTGTACAGCTCTGAATTTTAGCATATTTTATAATATATCACAACTACGCAGCTGATGTACTCTCCCACGCACCCACTGCTGAAGGAAAAAGGCCAGTGACACCTGTCACAGAATCACAGAATCATAGAATCACAGAATGCTTTGGGATGGAAGGGACCTTTAAAGGTCATCTAGTCCATCCCCCCTGCAATTGGCAGGGACATCTACAACCAGATCAGGTTGCTCAGAGCCCCATCCAGCTTCTCCTTGAATGTTTCCAAGGATGGGGCATCTACCACCTCTCTGGGCAACCTGTTCCAGTGTTTCACCACCCTCATTGTAAAAAATTTCTTCCTTATATCTAGTCTGAATCTACCCTCTTTTAGTTTAAAACCATTACCCCTTGTCCTATCGCTATTGGCCCTGCTAAAAAGTCTGTCCCCATCTTTCTTGTAGCCCCCCCTTTAAGTACTGAAAGGCTGCAATAAGGTCTCTCCACAGCCTTCTCTTCTCCAGGCTGAACAACCCCAGCTCTTTCAGCCTTTCCTCATAGCAGAGGTGTCCCATCCCTCTGATCATTTTTGTGGCATTAATTCAGTGCTGTATTCACCAGGGTAGGGGCACTGCTTTGCTTTAGAGATCTGCCAGATACAGTGCCCTGACCATGAATCCCACACTGGGAGCTGGAACACAAGTACTAAAGAAAACACCACAGCAATGGAGATAACCTCAAAGTAAAGGGAGTTTTTAAGAGGTGAAAGCAGGTCTGTTGCCCATTGCATAGATCAGGACAGATGAAATTAAGGGCACAATACCCAGGACTCAAAACCAAGATCCTAAACCCAGAGCACATATGTGTGTTTGGAAACTTGAACTAACTGACACTATTTTCAGATAAGCCGAGCCCACAGTAGATCCCCTCAAAAGCAGGGAGCGCTTTGGGTTACATGATACTGCTGATGTTGCTTACTGACTTACCTTATTAGGGGCTTGCCTTCGTTTGTTACTAGCTTGACATTTTTGGCCTGGTCAACAGCATAGCTGTTCCCATTGTGCCAGCCAACATGTTGCAAGCCCTGCCTTGAAGCGATCACTTGTAAGGCACGAGAGACAATTTCGCTGCCCTGCTCATTTACTAGTTGCCCTAGTTGGTTGCATTACCAAGAAAAAGCATCAATTAGTAACAATTAAAGTGTCATATCTTGTCCCAACCACATACAGCCACAAAAATAGTTATTTGTGCTGCATTTAGGAAAACAAGTGTTCAGGCTTCCACTGTAAACAAGAACAAGTTCAACTTGAACATGCATTGCCTACCTGTAAAATGGAACTTGCTATTTAATTAAAGCTTGCCTAACTTAAAAGAGAAAACTAATGTTTAAATTAAAATCACAGCAATCTATTGAAACATTGCTTAGGGATTCCATCTTTCAGAAGAGGGCTCTGTCCTCCAACTGGATGAGCAATTTTGTTAATACAGTTATTTTGCATATTTAGTAAATGGAATAACCTTAAAACACACTTAAATTATTGGTCTTAATTTCCGACTAATGAGAATAGTGATTTGCAGTTACTATTTAAGATTAGTAACTTACCAGTAAAGAACTTCTTTTTACTCCTCACATACGTGTTTGAGCAAACATGGAAAGAAAAGGGAAGTAGGCAAGAGCAGGAAAGCATCTTTATTTTGGTAATTGTTTATTGTTTATTGGCAATAAATAACTGGCAATAGCCAGTTAAGGCCAGGATTACTAAGGAAGTTCAGTGCCCAAAGCCCGTGGATCTATTTGGCAACCATCTAAACATTTGCAGGTTCATAGTTAACTGCAGAGTGAATGTGACCACTTATCTCTGAGGGATCCAGAGATTCCGACAGAAAAATGGGCTCGCTTTGCCGTATCTCTAAATAATATCAGTGTCACTGCATCTGAAGAATTGATCTTGTGTCTGCTGCCTCATTTCATTTTAGCCACAGAGATCAGTGTTTATATTAAAAGGAAAATAACAGGCAGAACTCTCAGTGACATAAATGGACCAGACATACTGAAGTAGTACAAGCAAGGCAAGCAAATGCATAATTAGGGGATATTATGCATTTTCAGTGTGGAAAGGGCAAGAGATGGCTGCAAAATTAACGATGAGAAATCCATTTTAAAATTCTGATAGAGCTTTACCCAATTCCATCATTTTTCACAGATGTTGATTCCCCCAAGAAACCTGATTTTCTTTAAAGGTTTCCACCCGTGATTTTCTACGTGTCATAATATAACTGCTAACTTCAAAGGCAAACTGCACGTCCCATCCTCTATTATATCAAGTTTCCACATTTTGCTTGTGTAAGTTGTTTTTTCGCAGAGAGAAGGCAAGGTAGAAATTATCTTAAAATGGGTACAAAGGGAGGAGAGGATTGTAAACAAAAAAAGAATTAAGAAAAACTACATGTTTCAATACTAATAACATTCTTGGACATGCACTTGAAGCATAGCTTTGTGAAATGCACCAGGGAGCAGAGGAAGTATTTTCCCCACTGTCCTTTGTCACATTTTAATAACAACTTTCTCAAAAAGAGAAAAAAATTCTCAGCTGCACCAGAAACAGGGGGCTCACCTAGTTCAATGTTATTCAGGGTAACAACAGTGCATGCAGGCAAAAAAAGGATCTCTGGCAAGTTTCAGGAGGTCACCAACCTGAGCAGCTGAGAGGAATGTCACAAAGTGCATCTGTCCTGCAGCGCAGACAGAGGTGGGGATAATAGCTCTACCCTAATACTCCTTAATTACATTAAAGACCATGAAGGCCCAAGGTACTGGGGTGAAATGGGAATGAGAGCAGTAAACAGCAGATTCAGTCATGTTCCAAAAAACGTACCCAAAACAAAATGCAAGAGTTTCCTGAAAGATGGCAAAACACGAGCTTTGGGCTCAGCAGGACAGTCATGCTCGTGTGTGGTTACGTAGTGCACGCAACCTAAAACATCTCCCCACTAACCTTCCAATATTCTCACCACTCTTTCAACAGGAATTACCTCCCTAGTTATGCACCCTACAAGTAGCAAAACATGGCTTAGATACAGGTGATGCAATTCTCATTCCTTCAACAGGGGGAGAGTAACCTGGTAGAGACAAGACAAAGTCTTTGTACCTCTAATTGTTCCTGTTACCCAGCCCTTCCCTCCCTACTTATGTCCACTGGACCTGTCCTCACATCCATGACTTCCCCCCGCCCCCACCAACCACATCTTAATTCTGTCCATGGGGACAGACAGAGGTCCACACCTCACAGCATACTTACAACTCCACCTGGGCATCCTGCAGCCTGATGAGGGATCTGCATGAGGAACTCTGTACCAGTTCTGTAGTGTGTATCCAAGCTGATACAGTTTTTAACATTATTTTTCTTCCTGACCTACACTCATGCCTCAGCTGCAATCAAGGTCTCACTACAGTAGGGGTAGCCCAAATCACTTGCAACCTCTGCAGGCAAGGCAGAGAAAGGGAAAAACAAGAATTGAGTGAGGAAATGAATTAAATCAACTTATCTGGGTCATCTAAGAAGTCAGGCCAGGATGATTTCCTGCTTAATTCTTTCATCGCAAGCATGTCCTTGCAAAATATTCATTTAAAAACACATTTCAGTCCCTCCCATTTCAGTCAGCCTCTCGTGACTGTTACAGGCACAGAAATGGACCACCCTGTGCCAAACTGATGGCATCAAAGTGGAGGAACGTCAGATCGCCACTGTATTTCCCAATGTACAGATGCATGTCCTGTTCTGCTCAAAGCTCCTATTGTGGCTGGTAAAGTACAAAAAACCAGACTGCTACATACATTATTTGAGATGAAACATTCCTCAGTCATCCAGGTCAGACACTCATCTGCATGTCTCCCACAGAAGACTCGATAAAGAAGTGAGAATCTGTCTCCCAGGTTCTGTACTTTGTATTTGTAAGGAGCTTTAGCAAGCCCCAGATGCCAGATAAATAGAAACAATAACAGTTGACTTGTTGATCAAAACCAATTCATGACTCATTGTTCATAGCCAAAACCCTTGGCCATACAACAGGTGGGAATACTTCCTACTCACTTTGAACAGTGCCAGTGATCTTGCAACCAGTTTCTTTCTGACGTCAGATGTACATTCCCAAAAATACATTTTGGGAGACTTCCAACCTACCTGACAAAGGGAAATAGTCTGGCAAGCTGCTCTACACTTTGCTTAATAGGGATCCAGGCTGTGAGGTGACTCTACTTCTAACCAAGAAACCCCGGGGAAAAAAATTCAGCCTTGTAGGAGATCTCTTTGGTGCCAGAACTACACAGAGGACCAACTGCGACACCTTCTTTCAATGCCAGTGGAAGAGCAAGTCCTAACATGGGTATTTCCAAGTCACCCGACTTTGATATCTCAGTTTGCTGGCTCTTGCACTGCTGTTCAGAGAGGACAGGACTTAGTTTGCTTGATTCTCCACTGAAAAATATTTGGGCTTCCAGTGGGGTTTGTACACAAGTGCAGAGATCGCTATCACCTCCTATTTTCTATCAAAGCTACAATGGATCTCTGGAGATACTGCTGTCCTTGACCAGGGGACTATGAAATCTAGCTAAATAAGAAAGCAGGGACTTGAGTAATAACACATCTCGACATACCCCAATACAAATGTATTTTTGCAGCCCTACGTAAATAACATCTACTGTTTAGTGATGATACAAAACAGAAACAATATTAAGTTTTGCACACTTGCTATTTTTTCACATCTGTACAATCAAGCTTCTCTCTCTTTTTGAAAAAACCTGAACTAATAAAACATTGTCAGTTCACATTTTATCCCCTCTTTATTCCCAGTCCTCAGGAATGAAGAGGCAAAGCAAGTTCTACCCCTGGTCTGGCAGTCTACTTAGTTTTGTACTGCTGCCCTGAACTGCACCTGAAGATCCCAAGTGTTGCATCCAATTTGCAGGAGTTTGTTGGAGCTGATCCTCAAAGCACATACTTCTGAGTGAAGTGCAAGTCGAGACATGGTGTTGAATAACAAGATGATTAGATGCAGGGAGGAAGACTTAAGGAGGTTCTCCTTATCAGACCCTCCTAGCATGCAACGTAAATAAGTCCCTGACCTGGATTTGTTCAACCAGTTAGCTATGCTTAGCCAAACTAAGCTGTATCATGGCCCCCAAATTAGAATCTTTTGATAAGGTGATTACAATGAACAGGTTAATGATTTTTTTAACAAACTATTATGAAAATGTTCTGAGATTGCCTCAAGATAAACAAGGATTCCAGTTGGCAAAACCATCAAAGCTACAATGAGGCTTCTTAGCTTTTCTTGGTTTAAATACTAATGTTGGACAGGATATTTCAGGAGGGGAGAGAGAAGTGAGAAATACAAAACCTAGATCCTTCTCTGGACTTCCAGGATCTGCTGAAAATTGTCACTTCTCCCAAGTGTGAGGAAGAAGACGAGCTTTATAAATCGAGACCTGCATCTCCTCTAAAAGCATAGGAGTGCTCCATTCCACACTCTTCACTTGAGTCAACCTAGATTTCTTAAACGGCTGCACCAATAGGAGCTTGCCTAAGCCTCATAGCACTGCTGAAATCCTATTAGCAAAGAAAGATCCAAATGGAAACTTTTATTGTCATCTCCTAGAAATGGCAAGGTATCGTTTATGTTCCTTTATGTCATGTGTAAGAGTTGCACAATGCTAGTCCTGTAGGGAGTAGTAGACCTATGTAGTCAGTGTTTTATGGCTAGGCTGGGAGAGCCAAAAAAAGCAACACGAAGTTTATCGTACAACTTTATCAAAGTAACACAGAGATGCTATCTTTTATTGAGACCAAATATTTAATGAAAACATTGTGATTCAATTATATTGGCTAATTTTTTAAACTAGGAACTAGTGCATTACTGTAACAGCCCTCTTGCAGTTCAAGGTCAACTAAAAGAGTTTTGAGTCACTTCCCACATTTACCGGACTGAATAAAAGCAGCTAATCAGATAACTCAATGAGAAGATCACAGTCCTTTTCTAACAAGCATTTTTGTACTCCTTCCAATTCTACCCTTTATGTAAGGAGCCAAATTAAACTGAAGCTTCAAAATTCACTAAATCATGACCTGACTGTCTTTAAAAAAAAAAAAAAAAACCAAAAAAAAAAAAAAAAAACCAAAAAAAAAAAAAAAAAACCAAAAAAAAAAAAAAAAAACCAAAAAAAAAAAAAAAAAACCAAAAAAAAAAAAAAAAAACCAAAAAAAAAAAAAAAAAACCAAAAAAAAAAAAAAAAAACCAAAAAAAAAAAAAAAAAACCAAAAAAAAAAAAAAAAAACCAAAAAAAAAAAAAAAAAACCAAAAAAAAAAAAAAAAAACCAAAAAAAAAAAAAAAAAACCAAAAAAAAAAAAAAAAAACCAAAAAAAAAAAAAAAAAACCAAAAAAAAAAAAAAAAAACCAAAACAAAACAAAAACAACTCTCTGAATCTCTCTAGTTGATGCCCACACACTACTACTCTCTGGGAGAAATTACATGTACACTTTGCTGAACAGGAACTACTAGCATATAAACAACACCACAGAGAAATGGTGATTCTTTGCGCAAAGGGATGTCACCTATCATCCTGAGCCATTCCAATGGGGAAGACTGGTTGACCCATCAAGAAACAATGGGTGTGTGACAGCTCATATTTGAGTTTTACTGCATTGCAGCAATGCAATGTGCCCAGCTGAAGCATCAAGAGGCAGGAGGTTGCTCATGGTCACATTTCCGAGTGGGAGGAAGCCTGGATCCATCCAGCATGGAATCTGGCCCAGGCTTCTTGTTCTTTCAACACACGTCTGGCCTCTGCAGATCTCTGCTTGTTTAAGTAGTCTAGTGGGGTAAAGCAAGAAGCAAGTACCCACCCATGTGCTGTACCGTCACCCTTGTGCTAGGAGTAAGTGAAAGGTCTGCAAAAACAAATGGAGCAAGTATCTGCCCCTTCCTTTCAACTAGCAACTCATTCTTGAAAAGTCTGACACCCAGAAAAAATGCTGACTATATATAACTGAAGCCAAGTCAGAGACAAGAGTCTAAGCCTGCACAAAAATTCTCACAGATTGGAAGTGTAGAAAAGGATGGAAACCCACCTTTCAGTGTCTGTTTGGTAATTTACTAAATCAAAAGATAGTGCTGTTAATGTTCATATCCTGCAGATACAGGTCTGCTTTGCAAAGAAGGGGCTAGATCCCCAGCTGAGAAGTCACATAGGTAAGATAATTTTCCCTTTCTTTCCCTCTCCCCCAGGGAATTTGCAAGGATTTTGATCCTCCCACCGAATATTTTTTCAGTGCATTGGCTGTTTCCCCACTGTCATCCAAGCATAGTTTCTGTACTTTCAGGCTCCTCAGAGAAGCAAAGGTCTAGGGAGCATGTTTGTGTTGCTGTGTACTGAAGTACTGTGGCGAGGCTCCTACTCTTTACCCTGAGAGCAGCATAAGGTTGGTACTACAGTTTGGAGGGAGGCTAAGGCTGCACTGCAAAGCCACAAAGCAACCGCTCCTGTTGATCCATATTTAAAAGACTTAGGTGGGGTTTATGCATTGCCACTGATTTTGTTCTAACTTAATGAGCAGGAAAGACTGTCAGACTCAGTAACAGCCATCATCAGAAGGGAAAAATTAAGTCCCATCAATCAGAAAAGGGCAAGAACTACCTTTAAGAGAGATGCAGTATACTTACTTGAGACGGTAGATGATCTGACATTTATTCGCAGGGGCCCTGTGTATTTTTTCAGGCCCCTCCGTAAGATCTTTTCAACTGTTTCTCGCAATGCTTCTCTAGAATCCGTGGAGGAGAACCAGAATGTGAGCAAAGCTTCTGCCATCACACCATCAGCATCTGGGCTACAAACCAATGAAACAGTCTGGTTACCTTCAGCCCATTTCTGCATTTCTTAGTTTTTATCTTAGCTCTTCTAGCAATGGCAATGTAACATAGAGGATTAGACACAGTTTTGAACACTTCGTACATTTTTGAGAGAAGGAATTGCCAAAAGAAATCCAAGCAAATGCTGAATGGTCAAACACATCTTAGGCTAGAAGAAGGCATGATGCTTTCTGTGAACAAACGGTCAGACCAGTGGAGTCTAAAAAGCAGTCACTGACTACGTGCTTGGGACACAAGAGCAGGAGGGAATGAACTGATTTGATTGCAAAGAAAAGCTGGATACACTGCACTTCAGAAACATCAGGTAGACTGTTAATGGTATCTAGACAGACCTTTTCAGGGTCCTGTACATACAAGGAATAAAAATTTCCAATCATCATCAAAAAGATACTTGAGCAAAGGGGAGAGACCACACAACCCCATTCCACCACTGCAACCTCTTCAGAGAACGTGACTAATAACTTCACATTATGCAACAATAAATGAAACTCAGCAGCATATCCTCAATCTACTTATCACAGGCCAAGAGATGGACCACAAAAGGGGCCTTTAACATCTCACTAAAATGTACAAGTGGCACCCACACTGGGACACACAATTCCACAGTTTTGATGCAAGATCAGAGGAAAGAAAAGGAAGAAAAATCTTCTAACAGACTGAATTCATCCGGTAATAGTATTTATTTTTCCTTAAAGCATCAGATACTGCAAGAGACTGAATGCTAGACTACAAACACCAAAGTGTCTAATCTGGCGTAGTATATCTTCCTCTGTGCTTGCATATGGCTCATCCTTGGTCATTACACAGGGAAGGTAAGAGCATGCACCGAGAACCTTCCCTCCTGTGCGTCCTCCTGCCTGAGCCAAGTAGCAATGGCACAGCCCACAGCAGGTGGAATCACAGTTACTTCTTACAGGGGGCGAGCTAAAAGCAGGTTGCTCTGTCTTAAGCATCATTCAGACAGGAAAGGAAAAGAGAAGATCTTCAAGTTATATCTCACTATCTTGGAAATTTGTAATTATATAAAGGAAAAATAAGAAAATTAAAAATAGAAGGCAAGTAGCTTTTACAGTAGTCATGCAATCAGGCTATGATCTTTGAAGGGAACATGCAGCAAAATGAAACAGATATTCCTGTTACCGCCAGTGAAGGGCAAATAAGAGACCATGTGTTATGAGCACACCAAGGCATGCCGAGTGTTTCGTAGCTGAGCAGAAAGACACGTTCCTCGCCTCAAGGATCTCATAATTGAGACTGAGTAGCTATACGTGAACTTTCCAACAGGCTGTTTCTTCCTTTTGTGCCAACTTCACGGTGATTGCCACTCCGTTTATTTTCCAGATGTTATCTGATCCAACCGTGGGTGTTGCTCTGCATTTCTGAGGTGTTCCCTCACCTCTCCCCCCACTCCTCTTCCTGTGCAGTGCCACACTGGAATTACTGTATCAACTCTTGCAAGCACACCACACCTCTCGAAACCCTCAGGTAAGTACAGCCCGCCTTGAATCACTCACTATATAGCAAAGGTCCAGAGCCAAAGGCACCAAGTCAAGGTTTGTTTTGTCTTTCTCAGTGAGCAGTGAGCATTATTACTAATGCGTTGTTTATACTGAGCCAAACCACATGCACAGTACTTTCCAAGCAAATTCACAGCAATGACCCTGCTTAAAAGAGCTTGCAGTCTGAGCACTTAAAGAGGCATAAAGCTTGTATATTTGAAAAAGCAAACAAAACTTTGGCACATACAAGTCTTGCATCCGACACAGCAAACATCACAGCAAATACCTCAGCCTGTCCTTGGGAACAAGAAGTAATGAAAAATATTACTTCTCCCTACAGATTGGCCTCTCAGATCCTTAAATCACCTTGTCTACACTTATAACACTCTAGTCAGTATCGAAAAATATTCCTAAAGCTACATTCAAATAATGACTTGCATGATTTGCCTAAAGGGGGATTAAGCTAAGGCAGAGCAGGAGGCAGGATGTCAAAACCATAGAAGAATAAGGAGAAATACATTCACAAGAGTAAGATCTTGAGGCTGCTATCGTTAGTCTTGCAGCTTTAGGGCATGATTAAGACATTCAAGATTTACTTGCAAAGCGATGGCCACTGTCACTCAGTAACAAGACCTTAGTATTACAATAGACAGTTCTATAAAAAGATCATTTTCAGCACTTGACAGTGGTCAAAAAATCAAATAAAACATTAGGTATCATTGGCAAATGAACAGAGAATAAAAGAGAAAAAAAAAAGCATTGCTCAGTGATAATCCCAACCACAGGTCTGACCCCTTCATCTCAAAAAGCAGGGAAAGCAGACCTGAAAGAGATACGGAGCAGGGTGACAAGGAACAGTTCCTGCAAAGAATGGCTGACCAGGCTGGGACTTTCGACTGAAAAAAAGAGTAGAGCTCATGGTGTACAGGAGGGAAAAGGGATATGATGGGAGTGTCCGATACCACTAATTGCACGGAGAGGAGGGATAGAGATCAACTTTTCATCACCTCTTCCAGCACAAGAACTAGAGGCCGTTGAATGATACAAAGAGGTTGGCTCTTCACAAATAACTCCTTACTAAAGGACTGAGGTGCACAAATTTCAAGAGTCCAGGGGAGACTGGACAAGTCCTTGGAAAATAACTCCACCAGGGGCTGCTGAACAAACCACAACCACTTCAGGAAATCCCAAGTAGTAAATAGCTGGAGGTAGGGAGCATACCAAGAAGCAGTTATCATACATGTCTGTTGTGTTGCTGCTGTTCCCTAGGCACCTACTTATGCCTGTTCTTAGAGATGCAACAGTGACAAGCGGGACCTTCTGAACCAGCACAGCCATGCTTGGGTTTTACTTGACAGGCCTAGCACAGTAGCATTACTAGAAGTAAAATGACACCTGCATTATACTGACGGAAATGGTTTTGAAAATGCTTTTTATTTTTAGACAGCTCAAGTTATAGCTGCTTTATTAGCTAAAGCTTGCTCAAGATCTGAACACAAACTTGTATAGAATTTGGACTGACTGAAGCTCATCTTCTGCATCAAGATCCAAAGGAGGGCATGGTTCAGAGTAAGATTATGCTCAATTGGGGATTATGCTCCAGTCTTACATAATATACACTTTACTGAATCAGATCAAATGGCTCTCTAGCTGGGCTTGGTGTACATTTAATTTTATCTCAGCTGCATGCATTTATTATAATCTCACATACCTCACTCTGATTAATCGTGAACGGATGTATTTTTTCCTTAAAATGGAATTGTAAAATGTCTTGTCGATCTGTTGAAAAAAGAAAAATATAAGATAACAACAAAAAAGGAGGGAAACGGACATATTGCTGGAAGAAAACAGCATTCAGTTACAAACTCACAGCTTACTGAGCCAAGAAACGTAATCCAGCCCAGCCTCTAGATAACATTTGCCACAGACTTTTCCTAACCGTTTCCCATTTGGCCTAAGGCACATCATAAAAAAATTAACTTGTTTTTCAAAATATCCTATGACTACATCAGTGTGCCACTACAGTGCTGTCCTGTCCACTCCCAGGCGTAACGAAGGATATTTACAAACATCCTTGAAACATAGTGCTGCAGTCTCCCAAAGCACAGCCTCCTAAAGATGGCCTCCAAAAAGGATACAGCATGCTGTGCTCTGCACTGCAACGAGCCTCTCTTGTAGGGGTCCTTTCCAATACAGCACTTATCTGGGGTCCTGTAGAAATTTATAGCAAAACTACCGGTGATCTCAAATTATAACCCCCAAACGGCCTCATGATTTGCCACATGCTAGGGGAACTGTCAAGCAATTCTCGTCAGAAATTGGAAATCTAGGACTCATAAGGAATCAATCCCCAAATGACATCTTTGCTGGTGCCTGCTTAACCACATCCTGCTTTAGGCTGAATGTTGTCTCAAGATTGCGTGATCAGTCTGAGACAGCCCGGTGTGATATAACATGGCATGAAATTCTGCCAGGAATGGCTCAGGATCACTGAAGTATTGAGAAACAGCAAAGTCACTAGTGAGTTATGCAGTTCCTCCTATCAGCAAGACCCAGTAAATCGAACGTGTCCTGTAATCATCAAATGCATTACAGGAAAAACTACGTAGAAATGCTTTACAAAATCATGCAAGTTGTCTTTTTTAGCAGTAGTAGTTTTTAGCCCATACAGGCTCTGATTTAGCCAAGTCTCCAGATCTTCTGTCTTCTAGCGGAAAGAAAAAACTAATGGTTCTCAAACTTCTAGCATGTTGAATCTTTCAGATACAGAAACAAGCATGTAAGCACGAGGTCTGGGGGTGACTCCTCCCAAAGAACACAAATCCCCTCTTTCCAGCTGCGGCTGTCATAAGATGAAGCCTCATGTCATTACACAGGGATATTGAAGCAGAATAATTTCAAGATGAAAACTACACGTTTTATTATTTTAAGGTGATTTTAAGCATACAGTAGTAAGGAAAAATAAAGAAAAGTTCGTAATGGTCATGCATTGAGCTGAATCTTTTGTCTTGCTGTTACTGGCAGTTATCTGGAATTACTTAGGCTTTTGGAACAGACAAAATTCTGTGGAAAAAATACAACCGCAACAAGCTACTGTATATATGCAGAATGCGCTTTATCCTGTCACTTCGCAGGTTGCCAGCTGCTACCACTGCATTTTATGAGACATACAGTTAGAAATCAAGAATAAAGTGTTTTGTTTCCTATAACTCTGCAGCCTGTTCCACCACCACACCCCTTGCTTATTGGAAGTATTTGCCCTCAGATAAAAAGTTGGTTTTTTTATTTTTGGTTTGTTTTAGGTGGTTTTTTTTTTTAATGATAACATTTCCTTATCATTTCTGTCACAGTGTTAACTGCTTCACTGATGATTGTGTAAGCAGAAGCACGTAGTTAAGCAGCACTGCCGGCTTTGTGGCACGCAATGGCATGTGCTAGTTTTGGCTGCACTGCCTCCGAGAACTTTTGAGATCTTTGGGACAGGGACTTCTTTGCAGAGTCCTCTGCAAACAGAAGAGGTGGGCTGAGGTACACCTCAAGCTCCCACATTGCTAAAGAGTAAAGTGGAAGCAGGCTGACTAAGTTTGGGACTGAAGAGGGCAAGAACTCACAATCCCTTGCAAGGGAGAGTTAAGTCAATATGACATTCCTGAACCCTTCATCTCCTCCTGGCAATTGCGTTTTCAAGCTATCCGTATTGTCTCATCTCAGAGATTGCAAGTGTTTTTTGCTACACTTTCCACCTGCATTTCTGTAGCAGATACAGGAATCCTTACTTCTGTCACACATTCGCTTGTGTATCTTTGCTACAGCCTGAGCAGCTCATGTGATGGTGTTTTTTGTACTCCCAACATGTTCAGCTTTCTCCTTTTCTCCTCACCCCGGACCACTTCCTAGATGTTCTGTACAGCCTGATCAGGAACACCACGTGCTGCAGCAAAGACAAAGATTTCCAGTGGCATCTGACAAACACAATTACACACAGTGCTTTTAACAAAAAGAATCTAAGGAGTCCAAATGCAACTGAACGATCAGCAACAGACGTTGTTTTCAGAAAATTCAGTCCAAAAGGGATGTTAGTTATTTTTATGGAGAGAAGAGTAAGCCTATGATTTAAAATGATATCAAAATTATCGGATTTGTGTTACTTCCATTCTCTTTCACAATTTCGTATCTGAATGAGAAAGTAGCCACTTTTCTCTTCCTGTTATATACTGTCACTAACTTTCCCCTCCTTAAGAGCTGCCTTAGTACATCATCACCAACAGAAAAAAAAACAACTGGAGAGTGGTTTTGTTTCCAGGGATCCTTGCAGGACCTTTAACACCTTCAGACTTGACCTGGTATTTTTTAGTTTTGTAATCTGCTATGTTTTATCAGGAAAGACATGCTAGCCAAACCTCTGCACTGTGGCCTCTATCTCTCACCCGCTGATGTATTTGTTTGACAGACATGAATCTGTCACAAATCTCCTCTTTCCTTCAACGATGATTTTGGTAACCCGAATTATTAACTGTAATCTTCATATTCATACAGAGTTTATGTAAGAGGAAAAGATGTAGCAAGATGCCTTCAGATAATGACTTTCAAAAATGAACGTTCTGTCTCATGTTTTTACTGTTCATCTTCTGGTAAAGCCTTTGACATCCATATCAAACAGTAAACGTTTCTCTCCAGCCTGCTTACAGCTTTTTTTTCAGCTTGAGTCACAATCCTGGAAGCAGAAGCAACTAGAACTTGATCTGGCAACTAGGTGGGACCCGGTCCTGTCTGGGAGAAGCATTTATACTCATTTTAAGCATTTTGGTTTTATTATAGCCACTCAAAAGTGACGCTGTCATGACCAGATCCCTTAAATTCACCACTGATTAAGTGCATCTCACTTGTTTTCCTGGCCCTTGTCTAGCAGTTGCTCAATGGTCAGTTGCTGCTGCAGGGAAGGTCTATAGGCATTCTCAACCAAGTGCCAAGTCCTGCTCCTTCCAAGTGAGCAACATTTTCCTGACAGCCTTTATTTTAGCATTTGTCCGAACCAGATTTTCTCTAAGTTAATGTTTGCTGGCTAGTTTAGCTTAATGCCATCTGGTATTTCCTCAGTTTAATTTCATATCCTCTATCCTTTTTACAAAACTTCTCTCCATGCAGCATAATTTTTTAAGACAAACTGAACTTCACAGTGTCCATCTATGCCAATACAGTAAGAAACAGTGGCAAAGATGCAATAAGAGGGCAAAACGTTACCACCTGTACAAACCCAGCCACAAAGGAAATTCTTCCTTCTTCCTTGCAGCCAGAAGTTGCTTTACCCCTTGATGAACAAGTCTTGTTTTCCTATCCTACCTCTTTTTCTTGTGTCACACTGTGACCAACCCTCTGCGGCCTGTGAGCAACCTACTAAAATCTTCATGATTTCAGAGTCACCCAATATGCCCTGCCTCCCTCGGACCCAAAAAACCCCGAAGCTCTGGAAGTAGGTCACATGTGACAGGGATCCCATCGCTCCAGTCCAGGACGGGGCTGACAGGAGCTGGGCTTGCCCAGACGCGTAGCTGGGTCTGGAAGTGACCCAGCAAGGCTGGCTGTGTCAGCCCTTGCTTTCTCCCACCACACACTGCTCTGCCACTGTACGCAGGGCAACAGCATTTATTAAAAAGGTTATCTTAAATCTAGTTTGACAGAACTTTCCTCTGGAATATTTGCTGAACCCACAGAATTACTTGCGTGGGATGTTCAAAAGCATTCAGTAGGTTTGGGAGCACAAATCCTCTTGTTGCTCAATACTATTGCTCTTCTGCCTGTTGCCAGTTTAGTCCTTCAGCAGCTATCCTCATACTACATTCTTCCTCTTGCCTCATTAGCTCTTTAGGATGCAAAGCCTATTATTAGTGATTTTTAAAGCTTTTTGACATAAATATTAACTAGAACATACCACCTGGTTCAGTAACTCTCTCCAGTTTCGTGGCAATCATACAATATGAATTACTACTAATCGGTTGTGTTAATTCTGTACCTAGCAGCCAACTTGCTTGCCAGTTTGCATCCAATTTACAGCTCAACCTGCTGAGACCCCAAGAGCTGATGATAACGCAAATCCAGTAGCAGCTCCCTTGAGAACCTGACATATCTCCTGCCCAAGTTTCAACTGAGCGGTTAGTTGGGAACCCTCCCAGAGATTAGAGGGAGAGAGGGCAGGAGGAGAAAGACAGCAAAAACTGAAGCTGGCACTGTCCCAAACCAGGATGTGGACATCACACTCCCCTTAGAGAGACCAATTACTCGCAGCAGAGACAGCCCTACAGCCACAGTACTTGCCCGAGGCGAAGAAAATGGACCTGAAGGAGAGCGAGTGTAATGATCCATGGGCCTCCAGCAAACCAGAAGATCAGAAACTTTCCCATCAGAAACCACACATACACAAAGACAGCTTGTGTCCCGGCAGGCAATAGCAGTGTGATCCCATACATCTGCAAATGGTATCAAAAACTCCTGACAGAGTTTAAACTACTGGACTGCTAAAGCTGGGAGGTGAGTAAGCCCTATCTGACTTTGCACTAAAATAAGGAGCTCAGCTGGGTGGTTCTTGGAGGCATCGGCTGCAAAAGAGAAATAACTGACATTGTACAGTAGTTCCTAAAAAGACTGGTCTTTCGGATAAAAGAAATTAAGAGGTCTAATACATGGGATAATGTCAGGATTTAAAGTACCATGCTTATGCCTAGTGCAACCAATTTCAAAGGTATGTAATGGCATGAGAGTTTCATTATAGCCATGTAATAGCGACAGCTGGAATTAAGGTCACCGAAGTATTCCCATTCCTACTCCCTGCTTTCAATTGTCCATAATTAGCTTCCTAAAACTTTCACACTGCCATTGAAATTTTGGCTGCTTAGGGAGGAGATTTTCCAGCTTTTGAAGAGAAAAATGAAGTTTGGAGAGAAGCCACCTGGGCCAATAGCCAGAGAAGGGCTGGGCTCCCCCCCAAAGTATGCTTCTCCCAGGAAAATGACTCTGTGCCCTCTGTTTTTTTTAAGCAATACACAGAGGTAAGGAGCTGAAATACAGGAGCAAATAGCTCTTAGGAAAAGAATAGTTTTATGAAATCTAAGGAATATCAATAACGATGTATTCAAGTTACAAGTGCCCAAATACCATCAACCACACAAGTTCAGTACTGCATTTGGATTCTCCCTTTTGACAACACCATGTTCTAAACAACCACTCTCTTGACTGGCCAGATTTTGATCTCTGTGACACCAGTTCACATCTTGAATCACTTCATTGGTTTAATTACCTGTAAACAATGCAGTAATTCTGGATTGCGGGTCTATAATTAAGATAAGATTCTACCCTTAATCACACACACTATTGATAACTGCCCTTTATTTCATTTTGAATTCCTTTTTCCAGCTCAGGTTCACATCCATTTTCCTTGTGCACATTTTATAGCTTTTCTCGCCACACACTGGATCTGAATTAGAGTTACTTATTTTGGGGGGGAGTGTGTCTTCTTATGATTTTTCTGGTTTTGTACATGCTTATTAGACTTTCTGCCTTGATGAACCAAGAAAAAAATTAAAAAGAAAAATCAGCTTGTATGCCCATTACTTGAGAAAACTACATTGTATTAATAAGTCAAAGAATCAATGACGTTGAAGGATCACTGAATTTAAATTAGAGAAAAAGTTGGACAATAGGTACATTGTTGATAACTAACCATTTCATCCTGGAAATTCATGCTATTTAGGTAGACCACACTGACGGTTTGAGATCTCATGGGTGAGGAAAAACACTAAGCTACAGCTTCATGCACTGCACTGCATCAACTCATGCTAGCATTTAAAAGTACTTTGTATTTTCCTCAATATTGTTTTAGTTCCCTGTGCTGCTGTGACTTGTGGAAACAGGAAAAACTGGAAACAAAAGTCAATGCAGTATATGCCTATGGCAGTGGTCTTTTTCTTCTTTTGATTTCGATAAGAATTTCTGAAAAAAGTATCACAAGTGAGATGCAAGTGCTTTCTGTGAGTTATTTCCCCTCTCAGTGTACAGCATTTCACCTATATCTTTAAGGCCACACCTGTATCTATACATACTGACAGTCGAGTGTGCTGTCAACCTCTAATTCCAGAGCTAAACAATGAAGTCGCCACACTGTCATCTCGGCCACTGTTGCATTGCCATGTTTCCCAGTTGGCTGAATTACCATGGAAAGATGCTTTCTGCTTTGTTTCGAGCCCCGGTCACCCATAGAGGGCACCCTTACTGTACCATGCTCGTCCAAGGACAATGCTTCCTATTTGCGAGAAGCATTCCCTTAAAATAAAGCTTTTAAAGCAGTTGTCATCAAATGCCCTTAATTTATTGTAGGATTTTTTCCTCAAAATGCTCCTTAATCTCAAAGATCTTTTTTACATAGATAAAAGATTTTTTTTTCCCATTTTACAACACTATTTTGCAGAACAAGAAAAAAGGAAGAGTCTCTAAAGAGCTTCATTTTAAAAGCTTCATTTTTCTGGCTTTTGTTCTATAGATGCACTTCTAAATAAAATTGCCTTCAGTGAAGAACAAGAAAAACTTTTAATAGAAGTTCCGTTCTTTTCACCTCGTATCAGTACTAAGCAAGTACTTGAGGGAGCACATACAGAGCCTAGGAATGCTTGGGTTTAAATAAGGACTTAGGGTTTAAATTTTGGGATCCGTATCTGAAAACACTACCAAATCTCTTTTGAAACTTATAACAACCAGGAACATTCTTACTCAGTTTGGCCTGGGTGCTGCAAGACTCTGAAAAGTCCTTGGAAAGATTTGGCTGCTGCAGCTACCATAATTTCTGTCATCTGTCCAATTTATCTTCAATTTTCTTTTGTTTCAGGGGCTGAGAGGGGAAAAGAAGTGTTTTATGGGGGGTGGAGGGGAACAGCACACATACAGCAAATGCAGCTACATGATACTTGTGGATACTTGTACTTTTCAACTTGCTGTAAAAAAGAGAGTCATGTTAGACTCCCTTGAACTTCAGCACACTCCCTTTTCTTGGGGCATGTTCAGTTATCACCTCTAAATTAGTCCTCACAGTTTGGTCTCCCAGAGCAAATAGTCTTTAGAAGTATTTCAAAAACCTGCTGCCTTGGGGATCTGCTCCTATTGAATTAACCTCCCGACCCAAGGACCATAAGGCACTGATCGAGCAAGCCACACGCTTCTGAGCTGTACCTTAACACCCACATGGAAGGTGTGACAAACACAGTTTCAGCCAGCTTTGCAGCTAGCTCTTGGCTCTGAAGGGATTTGTATTTCACCTCCCTCTCTCTCCCAAACACACACACGCACACTTCTGCTCCCTGGGAAGACCTGAGTCATGTCTGACCCTAAAGAGGCCAAGTGTCATAAAACAGAGGTCTCATCTGCTCACTCACTGCAGCAGGTCTTTTCAGCTAGGCTTCCTTTGAGTTTAGCTCAGATGGAAACCTTAGCCAGTACTTCAGGCTTTGGCCCTGCAGATGTGACAGTAAGCTATTCACAACTCAAATGATACAAGATACTTCCTGATATCAGGATGACTGCAAGCTTATCGCTGGGTATAAAGCAGAGTCTTTCAGTTACAAGCATCCTGTTGAAGGCTAACCCATCCACCAAACAGGGTTATCAGGTGTTAAAGCTCTGCTTTCCATGGAAACATAAGTGTCTACATGGGAGTTAAGAGAGAACAAACACAAAGAAACTCAGGTGCTGTGACGAGGGTGAATAAAACCTGAGCATGCCAAAAGAACTAGGTGGGTCCTTTCCTGATTACCCATAGGCACTTGAAAAATTCTTTCCTATCTCTGGGGATCTCTTCTCAGGTGCTGAAGTGGCTTTATGGATTTGGCCTTTCAACTCTCCAACTCAGTTCCCTGTCTGCACAGAGGAGACATCAGTGCCCGGAGGCTGGGAAACTGCAGGCTGCTTTGGTTGTAACTGAACTGTGCAGAAGCAGCCGAGAATCTGCACCGCTGAGCATGCAGAGGACAAAATGAGCCTCCGTTGCACCCCACTGGTGTCCTTTGTGGTGGTGGCCCAGAGGCACTGGATTCAGCTAGCAAGCCCTGTTTGTGAGCCACAAAGCGGCAGGGATGGCACAGAGCTGCAGAGAACTACTGAGTACCAAATGCTGCACTTGACGGTCCTTGGGATCCTCGCTCACCTTAGCGGCACAAAGGACAGGAGGTGTGTCTGTGTGGAGGAAGGTGCATGGCGCCTGCCTGCACCTCTGCTTCGCCCCCCTTGTAGTGAGAGAAATGTGTTCACAACCTCTAAAATCATCATCTCCCAAGAGAGAAAACTGCCTCCTTCCTTACCAGCTCTAGTACAGGGACTCATCAGCGAGTCCTTAAACTGATGGAGAACAGGCACAGTCATCAGAACTATTCTACAGCATTTTCCTGTGGTATCGCAAGTGCCACTGCAATACCCAGTAGAGACACTATTTCTAAATTAAACCCACACTAATTCAATTCT